ATTAGCAAATGACAATATTAACCTTTTCATTTAAAAAATAAATTAAAACAAACAAAATTCATTGATTGGTTGAGAGGGAGGTTGCATGGGTTGTATAAATAGGGAGGGTTGTAAAAGAAATATACCCTATATATATATATATATATATATAAAAGCTGAATAAAATATTAATATATTATTATAAAAGCTTAAGGGTTGTTTGTTTACCTCTTAATAGGTTCATTAAGAGGCAACCTTTGAATCGTTTCCTCTGAACAATTTTGTATCCTAGGTCTCCCTTAACCATTCAACGTCCTAATTTCATTATAAACAATTATATTTTATTTTGCATTATATCATGAGAGTCTCTTAATCATTCTGACCACTTAAACATTCTGCACCAAATCATTCAGCAATTACCAAATAACCTCTTATTTTATTGACCTTCAAATATAGAGGTCAACAATTTGCACCTCCATTTTTTTAGCGTTTGGTTGAGGATGAAAAAACCTTCATCTTTATGTTTTTAATATTGTGTAGAAGATGGTCTTACAAAAATCAACATTGTAGAGAGTTTTTCTAAAAATCTCGTATTGCTTTAAGTTTTTGTACAAAAGAATGTATATAAAAAAACTAACAAATCATCACTTTACACCAATTTTAAGGTAAGAACCAATGTTTTTATATAAAGATTCAAAAAGAATGAGGTTCTTATAAAAACTCTTTATAATGTCGATGGTTCTTACAAGAACCTTCTTTTTCTTGCCACTTTAATTCTAACTCGTAAAATTAAAAGCTAACCTACAAGTCCATAATGATAGTTCTTATAAAAACGTCATATTTAAAGCAGTTTTTCAACATTATTAATTATTATAAAATCAATAAATTATATTATAAAAAATTAAAAAAAATTGTTACTTTATGATAAAAACCAAATTCTAATAAAAAAAACTCAAAAATAAAATAAAATTAAATTAAATCTCCACAATACAAAGGAAAACTTGATAACTTAGATATATGTGATGATAAAGGGCGGCATCGATAAGCGCATCATGATAACTAAGTTTTTTAATCCAATTAAAATCTATATTATATTATAAAATATTTGATAAAAAATTTTAAAAACTATTTTTTATAAATTATGTATTATTTATGGATGTATATAACTTAAAATTCAAAATTATAAATAAATTGTGTGTAAGTACAATTGAAAAAGCTCTATATTTGAATTCATATAACTAATTACAGATAAACATAATCAAATAGAGGATAAATATCTCATTTTAAATATAAAAAATCTAAAATATAATATGATAATCATTGAGTCTAACAAAATATTTAATTATTATACTTATAAAAAGTTATATGCAAAAATAAGAAAATTGATTTAAAGAAATTACACAAAAAATAAGAAATTTTAAATTGTTAATTTGATAATAATATCAATATATATATTTCAAAAAAATTTATAATATCTTCGTATTTATATTTTATTTAAAAAAACATTGTTTACTCAAAACCACATAAAACTGTATTATATCATAGACCGAGACCAAAAAAATAAAACGAAACATTAAAATCGAGATGTATTTCGCTGCATTATATGAGTATCCTTCTAGTAAAAAAAAATCAACCCATTTCCAATCCTCGCTTATCGAAACTAAACGAAATCCATTCCTTGATCACCAAAACTCAATCCAAATAAACTAAATCCACGTTTCACTCCATTGGTGAATCAGTAATAAATAAGTCCAGAAACGAAATAAAAGTTATATGATTGGATATGAGTTGATCTAAACCACCAAATAAACTTAGGTGACGTTTGTTTTTAAGAGGTGCTGAAGTCTGAAGTCTGAATTCACTTATGATTTTTAAGAGGAGGTGCTGAAGTCTGAATTCACTTCTGATTTTTAAGAGGTGGTGTTGAAGTCTGAAATCTGAATCAATCAGACTGTTTGTTTTTTGCGTCTGAAATATGAAGTTTGAAGACGAGAGATCGAGAGTTGATATGGATCGAGAGTTGACAGAGTGAGAGATGAGAGATCGAGACAGAAGAGTTGATCCAGATAAATCGAGCGTAAATAGATCAGAGTGTGGTTGGGCACCACAAATCTTGATATTGTCACACCACGCCATCGGGGGTTTTGTAACACATTGTGGATGGAACTCGACTCTAGAAGGGATTTCCGCTGGGATCCCGATGGTCACGTGGCCGCATTTTGCGGAACAATTTCTAAACGAAAGATTTATCGTAGATGTATTGAAAATCGGAGTGAAAATAGGTGCGGAGGTTCCTAGTATTTTCGCAGCGCGAGATCAGTTTAAGCCTGAATTGACGATCAAACGGGAAGATATCAGGACGGCCGTGGAAGGTTTAATGAGCGACGAAGAGGAAGGACAGACGAGGAGAAAACGAGCAAAGGAATATGGGGAAATGGCGAAACGAGCGATGGAGGAAGGGGGATCGTCTCGCGTTAACATGACATCGATGATTCAAGCGATTACAACCGAAGTAACCAACAGGACGAAACCGATTCCCGACATTGTGTAAGTTGTACACCCAACATGATTCTTTCAAGCTGAATCACGATGATTTTTGGGTTGTGATGTTTTGTAATCAATTGCCCGAGAAATCGAGGTTTGAAACAGTTGTCGTTAATATGAGTGGTGATTATAGTATCGGTGACACCGCTTTGGGCTAGTAATCGGGCAATGTCCCGTATAAGTAAGCTTATAAGGCTAGTCTTATAAGTCTTAACAAATTGAACAAGAACCCATCTAAAGGACTTGAATTGGACTAAAAAGGGAAACTTGAATTTATATTTAGGTGCCGTTTATAAAACGTTTACCAGTAAGCACTTACCAAGTCACTTTACTTTACCGGCAGGGCCGTCCCTGGGGGAGGGCGGGCCGGGCGTACGCCCAGGGCCCATAAAAAATAGGGGCCCGATTTTTTTAATATATATAATAGTAGTTCAAAAAAATTAGTAAATAGAAGACACATAAAAAAAATTAGTATCTAATATGACAAGAAATGACTTTTATACTACATTAACTATTAAAGACCCAAACATGTATACATTAAATATATTGAAGAAAAAAAATACATAAATAGATTAATCTGTCGTTCATTATATAATATTATTTAATGTTTTTCTAAGTTTTTTTTAATCTAAAACCGATGTCTAAAACTACTTGCTTCGAAAACTTTGATATTTTCTCTATAATTTATCTTCCATCGACTCTGTTGATTGTTCTATTGTCATGTGAATTCTATTTTTATTTTAGAATATGATTGATTTTCTTGTTATTAGCTAAGAAAATCCCCATCTTTTGAAAAAGTACCAACTATATAAGACGTTACAACTTATATTTATATTTAGAATAATAAAACTATAATTTTTTAATAGTTGTTCTTTATTATCTAATATTGAGTTTATAAATCTTATGTACTATTCTATTTCTAAAAAAAGAATAAGATCTCAAACTATCACCAACATGAGATTTTTAATTTATATAATCGAGGATTCAAGAAAAGTTTGTTTTAACTATAACTCTATGTTCTTGAGTCTTCTTTTACGTAGGAAAGAGAGGAAAGTAATAGGGGAAGAAAAATATTATGTTCTCGAGATTTTTTTAGGGAAAAGAAAATAAAAGGAAAAAAATTATATCAAAATTTATTTTTATTTCATTATTTTTACTTCCTCTCTATTCTTTATTAAAAACACAAATAAAAAACTTTATTTTTCTTCTTTCTTTTTATTTTTTTTTCCTTTCTCATTCTTTCTTTCCTTCCCAAATTCGAAAACATAATATAAAAGTTTAAAAATGGTGTTAATCTTTTCAAATTCGAAAACATAACATAAAAGTTTAAAATAGTGTTAATCTTTCCAAATTTGAAAACATAATATAAAAGTTTAAAATGATGTTAAAAAACATTAACACGAGATGACATGGAAAACCAACMTTTTTATATTGTTTTACATAGTGTCACTCGGAAATCAGAAGAATCCACTTTGTAACCCAAAATGATATCATTTTATGTACCAAAAGTGTATCGTAGGATGTTTTTGATGACGAAACAAATTATTAATACTACATAAAACTGTTCTAGTAGATAATATTAATTTAGAAATGAGTATTGATTGACTTTGCGTCCAGAAATACTCGGAAAAACGGTTTTATATGAATTCAATGTTATTTATGATGATAAAAACAATATATTGAAAAAATATCGTACTTATCAAGGGCCCCCTTTTTTACATCTCGCCCAGGGCCTAAAAAATGTCAGGAACGGGCCTGTTTACCGGATGAATATGACAAGAACTAAGAATCTTACCCGGTAAAAGTAAATGCAAGAATCTCAATTCTTACCCAGTAAGTGAAAACGAAAATTATTACCATGGTTAGCGTTTATCGAGATAAATTATTGCATACGATGCGTTTTAATGAATAAAATCTCTGGTAAGTAAACAATATTGTTGAATTTTATGGATAAACTGTCTTGTGATGAAAGGAATTTAAGTCAAAATTAGCGACTGACTGTATGAACACGTGCACATGGTGCCGTGTTGGGCAAACATATGACGTCGATACTGACGTCATTTCACTTCTACAAATACCCACTTAATTATTTCATACAGAACCACCAAAACCATCTCTTCCAAACCATCAATGGCCTCATCTTCTCTTCA